ATATATATATATACAACATTCTGAAGCTGTCAAATTAATTTGTGTGTTTTTGTAACGTGACCTCTTTTTTCCCCTTTGAAATGAACTATTTCTCTGGATGTCAGAAGGTGAAGAAAGTGTGGAAACTGACTCACTCTTGTAGCTCGTGCTCCAAGGCTGGTATCCATAGTAGCCGGTGATGCGTAAAATCCTCTCCTCTATGGACGCGCTGTTGATGTCCTCGACTGAGCGCGAGGACTTGAGGTCCTCTTTGATGGCCTCGTCCACCACCAGGTACTTGAGCTGTCTGAGCTGCGGGCTGATGTCCGAAAGCCTTCTGGGGCTCACGTCGGGAGACTTGCGCATCCCGCTGAGAGAAGGAGGAGAAGAAAAAAAAACACAAGTGGCGACTGAACAAAGTGAGCTCGCTTGGCAAACAGAAGTGGGGGTCTGTCTGGGTGCGACTTCCTAACGAAACAGGTCCTCTTGGTTGAAGCAGGGAGCTTGGTGTTGCGTGTTCGGGCCCCTGCAGCGCCTCGCTTGTGCAGCGGAGAAATCATCATCATCCTTCAGTGGCCCTGCGTCCCCCCCACACGCAGGGGAGAGACACTGAGCCAAAGTGACTCCTCCTGCAGTTGTTGTGCGCTGCTCTCTGTGCAGCTCTTATTATAGGCTTATCTGAATGTGAATGTAATGAATGGATCACGGGTGATTTGCAGAAATGGAGAAGCAACACTCCTGACAGCTCCGGAGCGTCAGCTGGGCTCTGGAGCGCAAAAAACTGCGCATCAGCGTGCCTCCAGCTGGTGAAATCAGCAGAAAGGCACTGAATGAAAGCTGCACCAGCAAAGCTTATTTATTTATTTATTTATTTATTTATTTATTTTTAACAACAATGCCCAGTGGTGACCTGTCAATCCCTTTGCTGTCATAAAACCATCATCATGTGACTTTAAAGTGATTTTTTTTAACCTACTCACAGAAAATCCCTACAGGAACGTTTCCATGTCCTCCAGTCTACCCCAACCCCTATTATTAAAGTAAAGTTGAGTCCATAAATTGTTTTTAAGCAACTGGGTTACAACCGGATGAATTGAACATAAGCATCGTTTACTCCTTTTACGCACGGGGGGAAATCAAACGCGCAACAGGTACCCCCGCCTCCTTCAGCCTGATCYGTAAAAAGTGAAATGTCTTACATGGGCATCAAAGTGGTTGGAGGTCCGAGGTAGCACATGCAGTCCCGATGGGGCCGTCCCACCCGGTCCCACACCGRTGCGCCCTCTCCATCGCCGTACATCGTCAGCGGCGCGGTCTACTGCGACTCCYAAACCTCCCGAGGACTCCCGGAGACACGCGCCAGCTCCATCACCCCACGCGCCTCGTCTCCCCCGCGAACATCTGGCCGCCACAGCAGCAGCGGCGGCGGACTGTTTGAACTCCAACAGCGCGCGCTGCTTGCTGCTCTCTCTGGGTTTGGGATGCTGCCGCTGCGCGCTGGAGGCACAGCAACAGCGCCATCTGCTGGATCTGACAGAACTGTCATCAGACAGGGTTTGGAACAAATGTGGTCACGTTTTAATACAAATTATAAGAAAATTCCATTGAACTCATACAAAACAAAACCTTAAATGAGCTTTTTGTCTCAACTTGAACCTAGAGGGATGTTTGTATGGAAGCCCGTTTCCGCCACCCTGATAAAAAAATAAAACTTGTATCTCATAATTATGAGATACAAGTTTTATTTATTTTTTGTCAGAGTGGCGGAAATGGGCTTCCATAGTTTTATTTAAATGGAAGAAAAAGTTAAATGTTAAGTAATTTAGGTAAATAAAAGAATGTTAAAAACTGCCTTGATTCAGTGAAATTAAGTTCCCCAACTTTACTCATACAAGTGAATTAAATAGCTTATTTTTTTGGTCAAATTATAATAGGATGACTTCCCACCCTWCCCTTGCAGTTTACTCCATTATGTTGGAAGCTTCCCTGATAATAGAAACCATTCAGCATCTTTTTTTTTCTTCATTTAATAATAAATGGAATAAACACATTRAGGGTTTTAGCACATTTTTGCCAGGGATTTGTAAATTTGGTTCTGGCTTCTTGCCGCTTCCATTCTGTAGCCATGTTTAACGGATGTGCAAGAGTTTCCTGCTTTATAATTCAGTGTCCAGGCTGCTCCAAATGTTTCGCGGCACAGTGGTGAGTTGTGCCAGTGTTCGGTTATTAGATAACTTTTCCTACAAACTCCCGCTGTAGATGTGAAAGGCTTCTGGGCTTCCCTTTGTTCAATCATTCATGGCCTACATCACCTAAGAAGTCCAGCATCGGCTCAAGATGAAGGCAGACCCCGGCTGCTTGGATTTTGTGTTTCTGTGGGCAGGAGCAGAAACTCAAAGAGCAGAAAATTATCTGTTCAATCAAACAGAATTGCAGTGATACAGCTGATTACATCCAATCAGAGCTTGTAGTTATTAGGTTATAATTATTGTCGCTGTCACTGATCTGCTAAAAGATTRTTTGTCTCAGAGATGCAAGCAGTGCATCAATATGGTCCGTTATGTTGTTTGAGTTGTGGCTTTTTATTGTTGCCAAGATATTTAATTAAAACTGCTTTAATTATCCTGCAAGATTTTTTTAATAAGACAAGCATTTCATGCAAATCTATACGTTTTTGTTTCTTAAATCCTTTTTTAAAAGGAATCACTTTAAGAAATCGGTCAGTGGAGGTCTACCTTGCATGCATGGGGTGTCCATTTGTCGCTGGTTTGTGTTCCACCTCCTGCATTGTGTTGGCACTCTGTGAGCTCCTGACTGCAGAGCTCCATGGTTTTGGGGGAGACATGGATCGATGACCAGCTTCAACTGGACCTGAAATACAATAGAGTGGAGGTGTGTGTTGGGGTGAGTGTGTGTAAAAAAAAAAGGAGGTGGACTCTGTGCTTACTCAAAAGAAAAGCGACGTCTAGGTCATCAATAAGTTGATCAAGTCCTTGCATCGACAGGCTCAGGACGGACAGGATCGAGTTCATCTTACATAATGTTCCTCTCAACTCCACGGCTCGGCCAAAGCCCAATTGATTCTCYCTGCTGGACTTTCTTTCTCTGCCGAAACAAATTTACAAGCGAGCTGTGCRGCTCGCTCCTGGGACAAGCTGCTCATAGATACCAAAACTGTTTCTGAAGGAGTGCTTATTATTCAAGTCATCCACTGCTAACCAGCCCACCACGTTCCACTCCAGCAGACCTCTTAGTGGTTTAATTGGTGCCCTCAATCTACAGGGTGCTGTACTCTTTTTCTAAATATGGATGTGAGCTGAAGCTTAGAAGAAAGCTTAGGGCCAGGAAATGGAAGTCTTTGGTCTGGATAAAACACTTCCTCAACAACGAGGCTTGATAATTAGGATTTTCTGACAAGGACTCTGTATTTTTGTTAATCATCTTATTTATATCAGAGTTTGATAAATATGTTGGTGTACAATGAAAGGCATTTTAATTTTATTTAAATGGTTCAGTGACATGATTTGGTATAATATACAAGGCTGGACATTGGCGCATGGCATTTAAAATGAGAGYCATGATATGTGACAACTTCTTGATAATACAAGAAAAATATAGAATAATAAAAGGTACATTATAGCACAATAGGATGTATTTCATGATATTAAATGATACAGTTTGATACAAACAGAATTGGGTAACTAGTTACTTGAGTCAATTTTTGGGGAAAAATGTACTAGACTGCACTTTTTTACTTTTACTTTGAGTAATTTTGTTAGGAAGTATCACTACACTTACTTGATTAAAAGTTCTGGATACTCTACCCAATGTGAGTAACTTCACTGACTAAAGATAAAGATTGTTTTTGGCAAAGCCTCCCCAGACACACAAACCTGCAGTTTTTGTTTCATAAATTTTATATTGAAAGAAACTGATTTGGAAAATATATTTATATATTTTGTCTGAATTTGTTGTTTTGTATATACAGTATTTTCATTTAGATCCTTTAAATAGCAAAATTTCCACTTAGCTTCATATTTTGGTCTGTCTGATGATATAATTTTCAAATATTAAATGACTGATCAGTTACTCAGTACTTGAGTAGCCTTTTTACCAAATATTTTATACTCCTATTTGAGTATTTTATTGGATGGTTTTACTTTTACATGAGTAAACATGAAGTAGTGCTACTTGTACTTGAATGCAATTTTTTGGTACTCTACCCACCTCAGAATACTTCACAATGTGGCATGGCACATATTAAATTTGATAGAACTGATGATGGAATAAAAAAAACAAAATAATTTTAGAGTTGTACCCAATTTCAATGCAGTCATCTGGATCTTTTGTTGCCTGTGATTTCTGGTTCCATAATCTTTAAAAAAAATAAAGCTTTGTACAGTTTTCTCACAACAAATTGTTTGACCTATAAAATAAGGGTATGACATTTACAATGGCTGCCTCCCATTTGCTTGTTCACATCTCGGATCACTGAGTTGATATTTATACAGCTTTGTTGGCTCCAACTATTCAGAACATCTTGAACAAAACTCCAAACAGTTTTCTTTGTATTTATTACATTTCTTCCAACACTTAATGGTTGACAGATGTGTTTATGGTTTTGTTGGGGATTATTGAACTAACATCTTGGGAAATTAACCCATCAACCAATGTTATTTTTGATTCGTATCACATGAAAAATAATCTCTTTTCTGCTGATGATTTCTAGATTCATAAAATATATACTTCTTGAAAGTCGTGACTCTAATGTAGATTATACTGCGGTCGTGGCAGAAATCATTTTTCTTCCCTTTAGCTTTTTTTCCAGTCACCTCAGAACCTTCAGAGCTCAGTCAGAAGCAAAACTTTGTCAGTCATTTCTATTATTTCTCCTTCAGCATGGTCTGTGACCYTTTTAAAGTCACTTTTTAAAAAGGATGATGCAAACCCATGTCTTTCACACCATTAATATTTAATGCAGCTTTCAGCCTGGAAACAGCACGACGGGCCCATGCTGATTGGTCTGAGCTAGAACATAAGTGAGACTCTGAGCCAGTGAGGGAGGTATGTGTGTTTTTTATTTAAGCACTGAGAGGTTTAATAATCAGTACGATTCTCATTACACAGTGTTTTTAATCAGTCACCTTTGGATTTGCATACAGCTGTCATGGGAGATACAAATGACCTCTTTTGTTAAAATGTGATTTCCAGAACAAATGATAARCTGGATCAAGTTTCGTTCGAGTATTTTTGTGATTAAACCATCTCTACTTGTGAGCCTTACACACAGCTGGACAGCAGCTTCATCGCGTGGAAGCAGAGAAAAGATTGGCAACTTCAGCTTTGTCTTCTGAACCATTTTATTTTTACTATTATTAATCTTTTTTTGTGTGTCTAAATTTTGCTGACAAGTAAAACAGCAACTTCTTAAAGAAGCCAAGCGTTGTCCCAGTTGTCTTGCTATAAATAATCAAAGACACTTCTGAAATGTGCTCTTCAGCWGACTGTTTCACAATGCTTCAAACAGAATGTGGAATGGACCGACTGGTTTATTGTCACAGAGATTTCTAACTCTCCTCTGCGTAGAGCTCAGTTTGATCTGCAACAATCAAACYCAGTTAGTTTCTGAGCTGAGGCTGTGATGACTGCATTACTTTCAACCATTAGATGTCACAGGATTCAAGTCTGATTCATTTTACTTGAGTTGTGTCCAAATGGAGAGGCTTTTGTGTGACTTTTGCCATCTCTGTAGTMTGCACAATATTTCCAAGTCATTCTCACATTGTTAAAATTGTCACCTCCAGCTAAAGGCAAAAGTGCACTTTTTGCAGTTTTCTCACTGATCTTGATTTTTTTTTAAAAAAACCTAACCTGTTCATTTTGTCTGATACATTTTTTATAACATACAATTATAATGTCCCAATACACCTTTAATGTTCCAAACTTAAGGAAATCAGTGGATAAGATCGACTTTGTCACATTTTGTGCTCCTTGTCACCTGCTACACAAACCTGGTTTCAGCTGCAATCAAGTTCACGAGTCTCACCTGTCTTCTGWTCCATTTAAGCACCCTTCCCATGCCAAGTCTCTGCCAGCTGATCAAACACTTTTTACCAGCAGATGTCCAGCCCCATTCTTTTTTTTTTTTTTCATGGCCGTGGTATGGTGGAACACAAAATGCAGGCAGACAAGAGGACTTGAAAAATAAAAAAATAAACAAAACATTTATAAAATAATGAAAAAAAGGATGACATGGCAGCAATTAACTTCCATAAATAAAGCCAATGTAATATGTGAAAACATGGCCATGAATGTGACTGGAGGATTCAGATACAAGCTGAGACTCAAAGAGACTAGTTAAATACAACAGAGGATGAGTGACAAGTGGATGCACCTGGGTGATTACAAACTATGGACAGGTGCGAGTGGCAGGCTGGAAAAACACTAAGCCGACTGAGGTTAAAGGGG